TGGGGTGGGGAGCGTGGCCCCCCCTCCCGTTTCCTCCCTCAGAGGAGAGGAAAAGAGGCCCCGGACCCCTCACCCCCCCTCCTCACCGTGCGTGCCTGAGGGAAGGTCCCAGGGCGGGGAGGTTTTGAGGAGGGGAGTCTCGCCCTTCCCCCTCCTCCCCCCGCCTCACCCACAAGGGTCCCAACATTGGGTCTGGGGAGGGGGGGGAAGGAAGCTGTGGACTTTCTCCCTCCGAATCCCCCCCCCAAGTTGTGCTCAGTGTGTCGGTCAGGGAAACAAAAAGGGGGGGCGGCGGTTTCCTTTTCACCCTCGTGCTTTGGGGAAAGGGCTGTGTGGGGAAAGAGCCCTTGCCTTTCTCGGCCCCCTTTCCTGGCTCTCTCCCCATTTAACCCTCCCCTAAGAAAGAGAAGAGCAGGAGGAAGGAAAGCTAAAGTCTTTGTGCCCATTGCTCAGTACTGGCGCTCAGTTTTTGGTGTGTGTCAGGTTAGAGGGAGGGAGCTGCCCGGGCCCCTCCCCTCCCCTGAATCTATTAAAAAAAACTTTCCAGGCAGTGAGAGAGGAGGGGAAGGAGGGAAGAAGGCAAGTTTCCAGAAAGCTCCCTGAAGCAGCGCACTCGCCCCTGCGAGAAACCTGGGTGTGCCAAAACAGCCTGGGTTGAGTAAGAGGCAAGCAAGTACTTTTGGCCTGACTCTGCCCCTCTTTTAGGAAGGAAGGAAGGCGGGCTGTGTGACCCCCTTGCCTCCTCCTTCTCCTAACCAGGCCTTTGGCGTTACTCCTCCTTGCAGGAGCAAATATGCCTGGGATCCAGCCAGCCTCCCACCTTCTGAAGCCTGGCTTTATTTTGGGGAGGCCGGTGGTCTTCTTCCTGGGGGGGCAGGCAGCCCTTCTGTTCTTCCACGCCTGTTGGCTCCCTTCCTGGTAGCAACGGGTTGCCAACCTTCCCATTGAGATCTCTCGGAAACAGAGTCTCTCAGTGCTTCAGCCCTCCATCCTTTCAGCCACCACCAGACCCCACATTCCTGCAGCGTACAACACGTCCTCGTCCTCATCCTGTGCCGGGCAGGAAAGATTGGGTTGTACGGACATGTAGGCCCCATGGAAAGGTGTGTCTGAGCCACTTTGGGCAGCGTGCAATGTTTCTTTGGTTCCTTCCTCAGCAGGCTGGCACCGGCGTTGCCTCTTCGGAAGGACTGAAGAACTCCCTGCTACCATGAGGGCCCTTGCATGCAAAATCTGCGCCACCTCCTAAGCAGCTGCAGGAGGTTATTTGAGGACAGAACCTACCAACAGCCCTTTGTGTGCTGGTTGCCCTGTAGCTTGTCTATTGTTTGTTAACGAGGAAATGGAACTTGGGCAGGGCTGTGTTGTTGGGGTTACACCTGTTAAAAAGCAAATATACGAGATCTTCTCTTGCTGCTCCTTCTGAAGGGAATTGCTGCAACAACAGCTACATGCTTTGAAAAAGGTGTAGAGAGCAGCGGTTTGCTATTTCAGGCTTGTCTGCAGTGAACTCTGAGATTCAGTTGCATGTAGGAAGTCTGAAGACTAAATATAAGTACGGTAGGAAAACTCTCAAACAGCTGCCAGGCTCTTGTTGATAAATTGGTTTAAGGCCCCCTCTCAAGTGAGTGTTTCCATTCTCTTCGAATCTTTAAAAAACGTTTCCCAGAAACAAAAACCAGTACATTTTTGTTCTGTGATTTACTTGGTTATTAATTTGTTCTCATGTAAGTGGTGATTCCTAGGAAACATGTTTTTTAATCCTTGTAGTGCCAGCACCATCAGTCCCTTTCTTCTCCATTGTTTTAATTTGAAGCAGTCATGAAAGAAGGTAGAACAATAGCAGAATTGAGAGACTATTCTTTTGGCTGAAAAAATGGGAAGACAGCTGCCGTACAGGCCTTCTTTTCCAAGTTAGAACTGGCTTTGAGTGTAAGGGAGGGGAGAGGAAAATGTAACCGGGCGGGGGGGGGGGGGAAACAACCTTTATTTCTTGAAATAGCTCCATAAAAGATGTCGGTTGCTGTACTGTATCACTGTTCCCAGCACTTCCTTGTGTTGTGTCATCTATTTTGCTGGCTTCTGTGTTGGGGGTAATCTAGAAAACTAGATTTTTGTTTAAACAGGAGGTCAAACTATTTTCTGATGCCTTTAGCCTTGTGTGAAATAACATACATCAGCACAGCTCATTCCCCTTGTAATCTTGGAAATGCTGTTTTGTACTCTAGAATGTGTTACACAGAGGTGTTACGGTAATCTTTGAAAACGCATGCTGATATACAGGCTAGGGAAAAGATACACACAGTGTTTTATTTTTCTCCAAATATTTACAAGTTTTAACTTAAACTGTGAATTGACTTTTCCGTATTTGGTATGTTTTGCAGTGCAAATGTGGAAAGTTCTCTTTAAGCATACCACTTCTACAACTTGGGTAAATGCCAAGAATTCAGATTACATTCCTTCTGCCCTTTCCGCTTCATTGATAAGTAAAGATGTTCTGGGTTGTTGGCTATATCTTAAAATGAATTTAGGCTACTAAAAGTAATGTTTAGCTAGAGTACCAAAATTGTACATTACAAAATATGTTTTTGTCTTTGTCCCAACTTGATTATCTCCCTTTAAACCTGAAACGGAGGTTTGTTGGGAGAGAAGCAGATTGAGTTCTACGCACATGCTTTTCACTGCAAGCTGGTTCAGTGCCTGATTCAAAGGTTTCTTTGTACTTCCATCCCTGGCATCCATCCATATCGGTTTGGCTGCCTCCCACTTATCTGTATACCAGCGATTCTGTGTGGAAATTGTATACAATATTTTTCAAATGTGGGAGTGATAAAATCTAGACATGGAGACGTATTCCCAGCGACTAATCTGGATTTCAAATATCTGTCTGGGCAGGTCTGCCAGGCTCTGAACTTGGACCTTGTCTGGATGCTGTGTTAAATGCTTAGGCTTCAATAGGGCTTCCTTTATCTGGCGATAGGTTTGGGTCTTTCCCTGAAGTGAAAATAGCTGAAGCAACTAGCAACCTGAAACTTTGCAGGAAGGAAGAACTAGGCTTTAAAAACATATGTCCTACAAACCCAGTTTCCCTTTACCTGATCTTTTTAAGTGGCAAAGGGGCAGGTCCTCAAAGGGTGCATTTTACTATGAAGGGGAGGATGGGCAGAAAAGAGGGTATGTTCACACTCTGCTTTTGGTTACCAAGGATGGAGAATCTGGGTGGACATTCCGATGTCTCTCTCCTTACTTCAGATTGCTGAAGTTCCAGTGCATGGAAGTGAGAAGTGTATGCCAAAACACTTTACAGATACAGCAGGTGGTAACAGGTACTTTGGAGCTGCTTTTAAAGTAAGCACTAGAGATGGAAATTGTAGATTTTTCCCCCTGCAGAATTCCTGTAGGTTAACATTTGGCTGGTGCCAGCCTAATAGTCCGTAGTTCGGAGACTATGAACTGGAGATCTCATTCGCCATATTACTCTTCTGTTTTTGATACTCTGGTAATGCCCATCCATAAGTTTTTAAAGTATAACTTACAGATTTTGATACCTATGTCATTAGTTCCCAGCCTCGTTCTTTCCATTAAAACATAATTCAGACTTCATTTTGATATGCAGAGTAACCTACTTTTCTTTGCCTCTTCCTCATAACTAATGTAGGACATCTCTGTAGGCTGTACCTGCAATAGTTGAGTATTGTACTATATATTTGCGAAGGCTTTCATGACCGGGATCTAATGGTTGTGGGTTTTTTGGGCTCTTTGGCTGAGTTCTGAAGGTTGTTCTTCCTAATGTTTCGCCAGTCTCTGTGGCCATAGGGCATCTTCAGAGGACAGCACTGATGCCGGCCACAGAGACTGGCGAAACGTTAGGAAGAACCACCTTCAGAACACGGCCAAAGAGCCCAAAAAACCCACAACAACTATTGTACTATACCTAGTTTGATTTCTTAATGCCTTTTAAGCAGCTTAATTTTTTATTTTTTGCTCTTAGTTGTGAGGAAAATCCTGTTGCTGAGTTTGTAGTATTCTGAGGATTCCTTGATATTAACTTTAGGAAGGAGCAGGCTGTTGAGACTTCAGAATTAAAACTTATACGCCAAAATTCTATTGGTTAATCACATGCTCCTAAGAGATAGCGTGGAAGTTGTTGCGGTTAATTGCAGCGATACTGATGAGGTGCTATGTGCAAGACCAACAAGCAGCTGGTACATTATCAGTAAACTGTACCAACTTCTGTGTTTTCTCTTATGGGCTTGTAAATAACGAGTAAGGATTTAGCCAGGAAGAAAAAAAAGCAATAACAAAAATGGACAGGCTGCCCCCCAAAAAACAACCCAGGTGTCTTAGCTTCTGTTTCTAATGCTGGCAAAAACTACCTTTAGCTTGAGTTTCTGCTTTCTCTAGAGGGTCTTCTGTGGCCTCCAGAAACATGTTTGCTGAAGTTTTTTAAAAATATCTATGACAGGTATGAGAAGAAAGCTACATCTTAATTATGATTTCATACTATGCACTAGTAGCAAGGCTTTTTTTTATTCTATAGAACAAAATGCAAATACTTTGAATGTTTTAGGTACAGAAACAAAAAAGTTTGCCAGATTCAAAGTATAATATTATAAAAGATCAAGTGGAAGTACTGAAGATTAACCCAAATGTGCTCCATTTTGTTTATGAACATTTCCTGCAGGTTGTGAAGATGCTTCCTGTTTTCT